TTGTTTAAATGCTAAAAAAAAAACAACAAAAAAAACATATTTAGGTGTAATTTGGGGGGGTCGGGAACCAATCAATTGCTTTTCCATTATTTCTTATGGGAAAAATTCGATCAGAACTCAAACTTTTTAGGATTCAATCCGGAGTCCGGAACAGATTAAGTTTGAGAACCGAGGTACCACTGTATATTTATATGTATGCATATATAAAATCATGTACATGTAATCATAGATATAGAGAATTATAGATATGCATATATTGTATTCCAAAACTTATAAAACCATTGGATTTTATGAAATATCATACCACATTTTAAATAATAAAACTATTACAGGACTCAAATGAACCCGAAAGACCTGCTGCTGGTGGGTTTTTGGAGCTGGGAGTAAATGCCAAGCGTGTGGATATAGGTGGATGCCCATCGGACTGAGAGGTGCATCCGAACCAGTCAAATACTAACGGAATGGTCAGTTTTACACCACTGTCCTGCAGGTTTCTTATCCAAGCAATGCAGGTGTTTTTTCTCCTTTTGACAGGTGTTGTCCTTTCACCAGCATTGTATATCAGTGGTGTCTTCCTACCTTTAGGAAGAGCGTGAGCTCCGACCTCGAACATTAAACTCCTACACAGACTAGCGCTTTGGTTCTTCTGTCTGAATTTACTTCATAAAAACTCAAAAAGGCACCGTTTCAGCGGACAATTTTCAAATCAAGCCTGTTAAGCTTCACGTTTCACAGCTATGCCTCTCATGCGCACTGCCAAATGCACACAAAAAGCAGCCCGTTTAATTTGATTTTATCGGCCTGCGTGCTACTGTATAAGAGATACGTGAAACCATATCTCTCAGCGAGCGGGTAAACGATCAGGCAAGGCCCAACAAGTACAGAGCGACTTCACGATGCGCTTGCAAATCGAGGACAAGTGAAGGCAAGTCGCCAGTGCTCATGAATCACGTCGTTTTGGAAGCTGGTCACTGATAATGGCGGGGTTGCTTGAGACAGCAGCTGACGGGGCATTTTCCAGAGGGGGCTCCCAGCTGTGAAATTCAGCGGGATCAGGTTGAGGGATGTCCCACAGGGTGTGGCCGTAAATCAGAAAATAATAATAACGATAATAATAAACAGACTTATGTTTGTGATATAGTATCTCACCGAGGTGAGGTGATTGCCTGGTCTAAGCTGCAGATACCATAATAATACTATTCTCTGACAAAGATGAAAGTCTACAGAGGTTAGATTATTAAGCAGTCTCTGGTTAGGACAGTGAGTGGGACCATGTGACTTGGATTTGTTTACATTGTAGAAACTGAGTCTGCTTTGGGGTAACGGGGCAGTGTTTCTCAACCCAATCCAATGGACCCTCAGACAGTCCACATTTTTGCTCCCTCTCAGCTGCCAACACAGGTACTCTGTGTTCCAGATATTCTGTGTTCTTGATTGGCTGGGAGCTAGGTGGAAGCAAAAATGTGGACTGTCTGGTGATCCCTGGGTCAAGATACACTGTTATGTAGCTTGTGGAGGGGAAAAGAGCACTAGAGGAAACTGAACGTATCAGAAAGGGGCAACAACAGGAATGCAGAAGTGTGATATCTGCTTTTTTTAAGGGTTTGTAGTCAGAAAAACTAATTCATACTCATTATAGTGACCAGGGACAGGTGTAGCTAATTAAAATGCAAAACCCTGGTCTCTGCACTCTTAATCTCAAGAACGCCACATCCCACCCTCTCACAAAGACAATATGATTTAACATTCAATAAATTTTGTGGAATGCAATTAGTAAATATGTTGTTGTAAGTCCTTGGAATAATTTATTTACAGTTGGGATTTTCCTCATCTAAGAATTACATTTGAATTTATTGTGTCAGCAACCTGAACATCTGTAAGCCAAGTACACAATTAGTGTAGTTACTTATTCGTGTAAATAAATTTAAATCAGAATAGTTTTAAGGAAATTAATAAATCTAACTCTCACTGTGAAAAGATTTTAGAAAATTTGCACTGCACAGACATGCCGCAAGATTAATTAAAAATTGGGCAAAAGCACAACCATTATTTTCTGAAGGCCACTCTCTTTTATCCACCTAAAATAGTGAAACAAACATCAACGTGCTGTTTTCAGCTGAAACCTACTAGTAATATGAAGGAAAGAATGATACAAATGCACATTTTTTTCAATAATATGTGAGATCTGTGCTCAAAATTTCCATCAACCGTCCACCACCTGTCAATCACTTTCCAAAACGGAAATATGTATAACTATCTTCTCTTATGGGAAACTCAATGTACACAGTAAATGGGAAATCAGATGAAAAAAATCTGCCCAACATTTTTACCACACTTAAAATATGATTATAAACATCATCCACCATTTATATCCAAAAATAATGTATAATATATACAAAGATGAATGTGTGTGTGTTTCTGTGTATATATATATATATGTGAAAGGATCAGAATCAGTTAAAGGGGTTTGTATGTACAGTGGCTATAACATATAATAGGATGTTACTGTGAATGCTACGTGCAGGATGTTACTGTGAATGCTACGTGCAGGATGTTACTGTGAATGCTACGTGCAGGGTGTTACTGTGAATGCTACGTGCAGGATGTTACTGTGAATGCTACGTGCAGGTTGTTACTGTGAATGCTACGTGCAGGATGTTACTGTGAATGCTCTTCAGGAGAGTACAGTTTAGGTGATGATTCCACTTGTCCTGTAGTGTTTCCCAATCCAGTCCCTGGGGACCCCCGGACCGTCCATGGACTGTCTGGCTGGGAGCTGGGAGAGAGTTAAACCGTGGACTGTCTGTAGGTGCCTGAGGACCAGTTTGGGATACACTACTCTGCAGTATCCACAGCAAGAGGCTCCCTTTGCACGAAGATTTACAGCCTGATCTCCACGCTTCAACCTTGTAGGTGACGCCCTGCACATGAAAATGGACACACATTATGGGATGGATGCCTTCCAAAGAAGTTCCCAAACAGCCTGGTCTCAGTGGAACACAAAGCACATTCAGAGACGAAGGAATCGCCACTGTATTCTAACTCGGCAAATTCATTTGCATTTATTTATTTATAAGATGCTTTTAATCCAAAGCGACACAGAACGGAGAAGTCAGGGGTCCCTGGAGCATCTGGAGTTAAGGGTCTCGCTCAAGGGCTCAAAACCAGTCTGCCAATCCTGAGATTTGAACCCAGGACCTTCTGATCACAGACATAGTGTGTTAGCTGTGAATTGAGAGGCATATCTACCCTTCCCTCTAGCGGCCTTACCTCGCTGAACCCTGATTTCACGTTAACGGGGACACTGCTGAATATTCCGATGTCAGTCCAGCGTAGTCGTGGTCCTTCATCACAGTTTTGTGCTGGGGGGGGCTGTAACAGAGAGATTAAAGAGATCTTTGGGTGAGCATTTTCTGCGTCTGTTAGTAAACAAAGGCTTGTGCTATGTCTGATCCAGGACAAAAGGATCTGCTGGTGATCTGGGCTTGAAAGCATGGTCAGCTGGCTGGCGGATATGGGGTGTGTGTGAGAGCGCACCGGAGGTCATTCTGGAGAGCGCCCCCACTGTCTGGGAGGCCGGCCACTGCAGGCTCTGGTGGAGAACTCCCGGGGGCCACCTGCACAGGCCAAAAGGAAAAACACGATGCAGGAATACAGGAAGACAGGACACCGGCGAGCTCAGCAAGGCCTGAACACCGAATGTTGGTTATGCCTCTGAAAAACCAGCGTAACACGCCCTTAACGCACAGCCCTGAGTCTGTCATCCGTCACACCTCCCGTCATTTATTAGTGCCATAAATGCTACTCACATCACGCTTTAAGTGCCATTTATGTGCTGTGAGTGAGATTTACACGCACTGTAAGTGCTGTTTACGCGTGACGCGGGTGCAGTTTACGAACTTCCCTAAGTGCAGTTTAGCAAACGTGGCGGACTCTTCCGCTAAGTCAGCTGACCTCCAGCTCCACAACCCCCCCACCATGTGTCACTGTGAGGCTGACGGCCCCCCTGTGACTCGCACCCCCTCTACGTATCACGTCCCCGATCTGACATTCCGAACACAGTGGATATCTGCCCAAAGTGAACTGCATCCTAGGCAACGTGTTTCTTCATTAGTATAATATGCATGATTGTTAAACGGCCTCAGAAGATGATCAAAATTGAAAATAATTACAATTGTAATAATGAATGCAAATAATCTGTTGAAAAATACCAAGAAACACGGAAAAATAATGTTAAATTTAAATACATTTCAGAAATGTAATCCATTTGCAGGGAATAATTCAAATTCAAATTACGCACAATGTCTTGAACTCATTCAGTGCTTAAGCTAGCTTGATCTTTTAAGACTGATGTAAAGTTCAGTTCGAAAGTTCACACCCAAGACTGCTGCTCTGTTTGAAAGATGCAAGGCAGTGAAATAATTTATTTATGGTCACAGATGGCTGCCTCTTTGTGGTCTCATTGTCCTCAACAGAACTCCCGTGGCAAGATGGGACAATGGTCATCTTGTGCGCCGTCAGGCCGCGAGCTGCGCTGGGTGGGTGGGGGTAGAATCAGGATCCAGCCGTTTGGCCCCCAGCAGCTTGCCGGAAGTCGATCACATGGCAGCCTTCTGAGAGCTCTCTGTTTTCGATGCCCGGTGCTGTCAAACAGCTTGGTGTCAAGTTAGCGGACTCACTTTCAGTGCTGGTGACTCTGCCCCTGGGACAGCAGGACGCACCTCGGTGACAAAAGCGGGAATGTCCCCAAGAGGGCCCACTGCTACCCCTGCAGTTCCAACCCCCGGAGACTCTGTGCCTTCCTGGAAACAACCGGGGTGAAACACAGGAGAGATACACGGAATTCTGATCCAGGTGTTAAATTGCTGAACAAATTTCCAAAAGTCATTCAGTTAATTTCTTGCTTTTGAGATCTCAGTCCTCGTGGATTTACAAAGAACTTAAGTTTCCGAAACTCGAGTCCAGAGAAACAGTACTTACGAAACGATGCCGTCCACATATCCCGTGGCCTTGACTGAGTTTTGGAAATTTGCTCTCCAGTTATACTATTTGAAAAACATGTTTTTATTAGTTGGAGAAATTAGAACAAAAATGCCAACCTTGAAAACTGAAACGGTCTGGATCTCTAGATAGTCGTCTGATGCTGTGGGGAAAGTCAAATATAATAGTCAAAGATAATAGTCAAAGATAATAGTCAAAGATAATACTCAAAGATAATAACAATATCTGCTTATGCAAGACCATACGCTATAGGGAGAGTTTAGCTATGGGGGGTAAATCGGGCTAAGGAGAGTTGCTCAGATTTTAGCCCCAGTTCCTTGGCTCAGCCTGGACCTGTTCGGCCTTTACAGCCCCTCAGAATTGGTTGGAAACAGGAGAGTCTCTTGCAATCATCACTTTCCCACCGGCTGTAGAGTTTTCCCTGGGAGTCAGATCGTCTGTGGATGGTATATCCAACAGTGTCTGACGCTCTGTTCTGTGAGGGATGAGGACATAGGGGAGGAGAAGTCAGCTGGTAAACGCTTTAGCAGGCACAGCGAAAAGCAGATTATTTATATGCATATTAGATAGAATTGACCTAAATGGCAACGGAGTATCACTGGCCTTATGAAAAACTTCACAATTCAGGGTCGATTTCATGGGGGGGAGGGGGGAGTTGGAGGGCCATGCTGCCCCAAATAAGCCAGTGACTTCCCCCCCCCCAAATGAACCACCCTGCCCCCCAAACACCAACGTCTTTCATTTGTTTATTTATTTTGAATTTATTTTCTAGTAAAAACAATTGAGCCCGGTCCCTCCCGGAGGCGCGCCTGTGGATCGTCTGAATATCCAAAATACACCCCCCAGGACTGACGACTGTTACCATCACCAATGCACACCCCCGTCCTATCTGTTTTGGCACCAGCACTACAGTATCTCAGCTGGAGCAGCTAAGGTATCAGCTTAAAATGCATGAACGCATATGCATTACACTACCTGGTTGCAGAGTGACTGTGACCCCACAGTGGGGATGTTCCTTACTTTAAAACGCGCCAATTGTAGACTTATCGGTCTTGAACAGCACTGCAAAAACAGGACAGCGTAAAAAAAATACCCCCCCCCCCCTGCTTGTATCCGGCATTGGTACAACCCATCAGAGGGCCCGCCCACAAACCCCACTGACCGTTAGCAGGGCAGTCACATACTGCTGCGATGCAGCCCGGACGTCTTCCCCATTCACAGACAGGATTCGGTCCCCCTCCGTCAGCCTGCCGTCGGCCTCAGTGGTGCCGCCCTGCAGGATTTCCGCGATAAATACACCTGGATCGTTCCTGTGGGCGTGGGGGAGCAAAATGAGTGACCGAGCACTGAAGGGGCGACTTTCCAGCAAGACACAAGGCCGCCACACCTTGAGAAAAATTAACATGCACGCATTTTTGTCAATACGGAAAATGTGTCAAGTCTGAGAGACAACTAAGGAAGAGATAAAAAAAAACATATTTTTATAGCTCACGGACCGACACCTCGGAAGGAAACGCTTTCAAGCAAAAGCTGGACTGTGTATTTCCTCGACAGGTCACATTGCCTCCTGAGGGCGGGTGACAAGTAGGCAGATTTCAGGACAGCCCCGGCGTACCTTTTCCCAAGAACTCTGAGGCCCAGTTCCTGGCCTGGCTCCCCCGCTAAGTCTAACATAAAGACATCCCACGGGTCCTCCTCTCCACAGCTGGCCTTGTCACAGTGCGGGGTCCAACTCACGACGCTGACAACTTCGTCGCGAGTGACAGCTCTTGGGTCGATGCTATTCACCTGTTCGGGGGCAGAGGGCGCCATTGTGTCAATTTCATCCTTCTGGGGACGTGTGGACTCTCAATATGTCTGGAGCGGTGTAAGTTGCAGACATGCGGGGTATTTTTTGCTTTCACTGAGGTGTAATTGGTGAAAAGGGACTCATTATGCAGACATGATCATGTCACATCGCTGCCCTATGAGGAATGTGACTCCCTAAACGCTACTTACTCTAACATGCAAAGAGCAGCGAGAGTTCACCAATCTCCCACAAAAAGGGATGCGTGACGACAGGAAAACAAATCGCTAAACTCATTTCCACATATGAATGAATAATCGTCATGAGTGTGCCTTCATGCTCATTATTTCCAGCACTGCGGTAAAAATAACAAACAGTAAACAGGTTTTTGGGGAACCGTGAAATGCGAGGCACGTCTCCCGTTTCCCTGCCAGGAAGGACGACCGTTCGTGGCTGAGGGCCAGCCATGAATAGCGAGGGATAATTTACTTGGGTCATGGGGTACTATCCACTGGCAGGGCTAAGCTGCTCTAATTTCCCCTGCCTGGCTGCCCCCATTAGCCGCGAGCGGGTGAACGGTGGCCAGGGCACCTCCAGGATCTGGTCTCCGGGGCGGAGATGCCCGTCCTTGGTGGGGCGCCCCTCTTCAGAGAGCTCCTGAGAGACAATAACCCCCTGGAAAAGGAGATTGGAAGGCGAGGAATGATCTAACCATCTAATGATCTGGCCTATATTTCCCGCTACAGGATGGAGAACATTACGGAGGAGGTCAAGTTTGTCTGGCAAATTGGATTACGGTTATCTGACATTGAAAACTTCAAGCGATTTGGTTAGTCATGTGGCATACAGCCTGCCGAACACTAACCGAAGGGGTGTCACACCCTCCCGAAATGCTGAGGTTGAGATCGGCGTGCCCCCTAGGGACGCCGATGGTGGCCTTACAGCCGGGGATGATGGGGCGGGGCCTTAGGTCAGAGGTCAGGGCCAGTGGCCTTCCGGAACCTGTGATAAATAGTAAATTATCACGCAGTTAGAATACTGAAAACCTGAATGTTAGCCTAGCCTAATCGCTTACCAAAATAAAGCAGGGAGCAGAGAATGGTGCTGTTTATATAAAAAAGAAAACTAGGACAGATGTTTGGAAGATGGATGGATGGATGTTCCTATCTGGAGTGGTACCTGCATATATTATCATCCCATTTGCATGTTTCTAAGAATATGCCGTGCTCCTGCGCCACGGCGTGTGGCGCGACTCTACCTCCATTTACGCTTGAAGGTGTCGTTCTCACCTCGGTCTGGAGCCATGGAAACGAGGGCTTTCAGCCCATCGGAGACTCTCCTTCCTGGTTCAGCAGCTGAGGGCAGCAAGTCTGGGTCAGCCGCGGAGACACCCGGCTGTAGCAGACCGGCCACCATCCCCGGGAGATTTCCTGCCTGACAGCCGCCAAAAAAAAAAACAAAAAAACACATAAAAACAGACATCGCCTCAAAGTCTCCCGTCTTCCCTCTAGACACCTATAGAATCTAATTCAGAGCTGGCCACAAGGACCATGACACTCTGAGGAAAGAACGCGATAAAAACCTTCGCAACAGGCAGTCTGACAAAACTTTCATCATGCAAAGCCTGGATCCAGTCCCTAAATTTATCCCGGCTGTCCTGCAAACAATGGCCAAGTAATTTATGCGTGTTTATTCAGAAAACTGGAAGAAACAGAAAAGAACATTGCTCCACTATTTGCAAAATGTAAGCAAGCAAAGACTCAATGTGGTCAATGTCTCGTCTCAGCTATGTCTGCACCGACTGTAGGTATGTGAGTAGAGACAATCAGAGACAAATTCCCTGTGCGTGTGATTATATCTGGCCAAATAACCAAAATTTCTACTCTGATTCTTCTTCCTAACCACTTCTGCATAGTGAAAAACATCACACCACCGCGGTCACCTTACATACTATTATTATTATTCTTATTAGTAGTAGTATTATTAGTATTATTACTGCCTATACTGCTGAGTTTGTAAGGTGCCCATGACACAGTGAGCTCCACAGCCCGCTGAGTGTGAGGCTGCCCTCTGCTTTGGTGGCACCAGCGGTGACAGTCAGACAGAAAGGACACAGGCCTTGTTTCCTGCCGTTACCGTGACTCGTTCCTCCCCGGGCAGACTTCCTTTAAGCACCCCGCTCGCATCATCCTCCTCACCAGCATCAGTCACTAGGCCACCAGGTTCCTGTGGCCAGAAACATAACAATAAAATTATAGGGGGAATTCAGACGTGACATGCGCGGATCCTGCAGTTCTTCCTATAGACCAGGGTTATTCAAATCCCGGTCCTCGAGGTCTGAGCGCCGCTGGTTTTCCAGCCTTCCTTTACCTGTCAGTCAGGTGTGAAGCCTCTGACCAATCAGAATCAGGAATTATTAAACTAACTACCTGGGAGAACTGAAAACACAGCCTGGATTTGGAATCGAGGTCCAGATTTGAAGAGCCCTGCTATAGACTGATTTCCAAATCTGACCAAAAACGAGAAACGCCGCTAAACTGGCTTCAGCAGGTGTCACGTTAGTAATTTATATTACAATGCGTATTACATTCACTGTTACCTGACTCATGACCGCCACAACGGGAAGGAGAGTTGGGGTGATTCCAAGGACCCCTGAATGACAGGGACCCTCAAAAATTTGGAACATAATTGGATTGGTCTGGGTTTGAAGCCAGATACGCTTTCATGGGGGCTAGAATGTCTGTTAATAGGTTTGGAAAACAGAAACGAATCGTACTTACTGCCTACCCTGGACAGGCTCATGTGATGGACATTTTTACACATGTCAACATCTACTGCAGATGGAGACATTACAGGCTGGATAAATTCCAGCTACATACTTCAATACAACTAAAATAAGTCTCCTTCCTGTAAATAGTTCGCAAAGAGAGAATCACAGAAGAGTTTTGTTATATTTTTAGGTATGAATTAAGAACTGTGACCTAGGATGTAGTCTTACACAGAACTGGACAGAAGACTAGACATCACAGTTTGCTTTCTAGGTCATATACGTGAAGCGGTCCAAGAGCCGGTTGGCAGTAGTCACCTCTGGTTCATCGCCCAGCACGTCCCTGCATTTCTTCACAGCTTCCACGGCCATCTGGTCAAAGGCGTCCATGTTCCTGTTGAGGTGGCATCATCTACGTGAGTCGCGGCCAAACTTCTCTTAATTTGGGCTGCGTATAGGTTAGCAAACGAGAAAACACCGCTTTGTGGAACCCTACGTTGCCCAGGGTCGCGGCCGGGGTCAAGCTGAGCTTACGGACATTGCGGCAGGAGCACTGGGGCTGCGGTGTGGGTGTTAAAGACAGAGTGACACGCAGCACAAACTGATGGCAGCTTGATGGGAATGAAGCCCCACAGTGTGAAGGACACTACTGACCTCTGTTGGCAGGAAAGGGTAGTGCATTCTGTAATAATACAAACCAGTTTGTAGTGCACATACCTTATAAAAATGATGTTGACCCTTGACGGTGCACTTTCGATAGCGGTGGAGGCGTCCTTGTGACTGCAGCCATAAAGAATCTGGCCGTTTATCTAATCACGCCAAGAAAGAAGTGAGGCATGGCATTTAAGCAGAGAGAAACACACAAAGAGCAGCATTATTCGGCACTTGGAGTCCTGCCGGCTGAACTAGCCCCACCCACTTTTCAGCGAATGGCACGGATGGGACTGAGCACGCTCTGCTCTAACCATCTCCACTATCATTGGAATCCCACAAGTAAAGGACCCTAACCTCCAACAATTCGTCCCCTGCCAGGATGTGGCCGTCCTTGCCGGCAGCCCCATGAGGGTCAACACTTTCCACGAAGACTCCGGTAGTAGAGCAGCCCCTGCTGGGGGCCAGGGTGAGCCCCAGGCCCGCGGTGCCCAGCTCCAGCTCGACCATGTGCAGCGCCCCCAACAGGCCACCGTACCGCCGAGCGAGCGTCCCTAAAGCGGCACACAGAAGAGTCGGCTGCCTGTATATGACAAACTAACAGCAGACCCAACAGGGGCACCTGTGCAGGCCAAACGGGAGACTGACCAACTGCAAGAGTCCGGCTTCTGAAATCATTCACCCGACACATTCGGTTAACTGGTAGGAACACGACTACACAGAAAGCTAGCTGAGGAGAGGGAGATGATGAACTTTAATCTGCAGTTTAACAAACGCACAGCGGGTAGGTAATAATATGTTGTGTGTTTGCACCAGTTTGAGGCACACGGGGGTAGACATCTCAGGCAGGGTGCCGCCTAGTGGCGCACTGAGTGACAGCTGGGAGAGAAAAGTGTAAACAGAGATGGGAGGGAAGTAATGATAGAGTCGTACCCCAGCTGTAGCCAAAGTCGTTCTCTTCCTCTTTCTCCAGAGAGCTGAACGGCAGCGGTGGTCTCTCTGGAACATCTTGCACCATGTCTGTGTCTGTCTCCCCAACGTGGGGCATCTGGGGCAGTTCCAGGAGTGGGTAAGCAGGCAAGGGAGTCTTCACCACGTCCCTTTGTGCTGACAGCTGGTGCAGTAAGGAGAAACCAGCTATACTGGCAGACTAATTACGACTGATTGGCAAAATTGGACAAAATTTTGAACAATTCTACCTATCTGCTCCAGGGGGCGCTATCCTGGAACACATTTAGCCACCACATGGAGCAAGCAATACTGTATAATCACATAATTATATAATCATATAATGTTTGTTATTAATATATATTAAAGCTGTCATATCTTGTTCATTTAAAGTGCTATGAATGCAATGCTTTAAGACTTGTTAAGCCATACTTACATGCTGCTTATAAGTATTCTATGAATGCATTATGAAGGTGCACTAAATGCTCTACGAATGCATTATAAAGGCATTATAAAGGTGCAGTTAATGTAAAGCATTACCTTATGTTATATAATTCATAACAGGAAATACAAACATGCAGATCTGACACTGATGCCCCACGAACCTTAAATGGGGCAGGAGTGAAGGTCTTAGCTGGGGAGAGGCGAGAGAATAGCCTGCACTGAATGCTGGACTCCTACAGTAACAAAAAATAAAATCATCTAAGAGGATACTGTTTTTTAACAGTATTAATGCGGCACCACTAAACATCTGAGTAATGAACAGGAAGACATCCTGACACATGAGGAAGATGCATCTACGATCCTCACCGTGCGATTATAGCTTGGGTTTAATCCATCGACTTCCTCGTCTTCACTGACATCTACAGCGGGTGGCTGTTTGAAGCATTTCAGCAAGTTACACAAGTATTTCATCTTATATGGAGCATATTTAAAGGGAATTAGCCGAATAAAAGACAACAGTAAAGATCAGATCATTTAGGTTTATGTATAATGACATTATTTCTAAATATCAGTGTTTATCTTGGTATGACATGGCGCTGACATGATAATTGAGGACTTTACTTTCATTCACGCGCCACGTCTTCAGTGACAGACAAACAATCTTGAATTTCAGGATAGAGCGTGGATGTTTGTTGGCGTCATTGTGAAGGGATCTGATTAACTAGAGGAGCCTTAAAGTGCCAGCGTCAATTTAACACTGCAAATGTTTGTACAGAGACCACAGCATGACTCTCAGTGCTAAACCAACACCCGCATTGTTCGGGAGGAGGGGAAATGCACGGCGAGCGCCTGACCTCTGGAGGAGCAGGGGTACGGCCAGACGAGGGCGGGTCAGGGCCTGGACACGGGTTCGACTGCAAAAAGGGCAAAGGCGGCTTCTACGAGCAACACAGGGCATCCAATTTAGAGGATAACCAGTGCAATAGGATAGAAAGAGAATTCAATAAGGATCTGCTTGTGGAAACATCCATTACTCAATAAGCACAGTGCTGCATAGGTATGGAGCTGTTGACATCAGCTTAATGCTCAGGAGACAAACTGCTTCATGCAAACTCAAAGTTATATTATTTAATTCTTTATCTTTTCATTTGTACATGACAGTTTTTAGTTTTAAAAAAAGTTTAGAAAACTACAGTCATATTTATGCTTATTTTTTTCATTTTGGGTTAGATCATAAATGAATGTATTGATTCAGATTACATATTAAATTAACCTATTACTTCTGGCCGGGTCATTAAATTAAAGCATGTTAAAATATGCACAACTATACAAAATGTTTATACACGTGGATAAATGTGCAAAATACACCCATTTGTGCCTTTTTACACTGAATAAAAAGCGCTTGCAATTTCAAACATTTGACAGACTGCAGTGAAGATTTCGGTCTGACGGTGAAATTTAGCGCCCCAAAACATTATACATCCCAAAACATGAAAGAACACCTTTACAAAGGAGCCAGTGATCAGCAAATTAAGGCTAAGCGTTAGATTATGCTGATGTTTACACATTTCAATGCCTAGTGGGTTTTGAAGGATCTTTATAATGTGGATCAGGGCTGGACAAATCATAATTGAATTTTACAGTTATTTATATACATAAAGAGCACGATTGTCCACTTGAATGTAAATGCCTGCTATCTGATTAACTCTAAACTGGGTGATAATAGGTCTGCTTAACACATACAGGATGTGTAAGGGATTAACACGCATGACTGATGAGCAGAGGATTTAACATTGTGGGGGTTTTGCACTCCGCTCCCTAACTGGGGGGAGGGGGGCTGAGGGACGAGACGATAGTGGACAGCATGAGCTATTATGCGAGCATAAAGAAAGGGGTCAGTAGAGAGTCATAATGTGTGTCATGTGACCCCGAGAGTGTCGATTATTACATCGTTAAACCTGAGAGCGGACCCACGCTCCCTTCACATCTGCCGCTTGCTTCATCTTTTTTACACTCCAGCAGAGTCCGAGGTGAGTTATTCCGCTCTTATCTTACGACATTCATCAACATCCGACGGCAGTAAGGCGAAGGATCCGTGCTGCTAATTCCGATTAGCATCGCTAAGCTAAGGCAGCCGGCACCCGTCCAGGGCGGCCGACGGCAGGACCTACCGGAGCCCCCTGGGCCACGCTCTGTACCAGGAACACCACGGGGTCCCCGGCCTTGCGAATGGCCTCCACCGCCTCCTTGTGACTGGCGCCGCGCAGATCCCTCCCTCCCACCTGAAGCATAAACAGGAGAGCGCTCTTAAATACTTGAGTCTGTTGGCGCTATCAGGGACAGAACCAGCAGAGTGACAGAAACTCGCTGTTGCACCCTGGGTAATATTTCAGCATTAGCTGGACGATAATTACATGGCAGGGCTAGAAAGCTTTACTCAAGCCCGTGACCCTCCCAGTAATTAGCTCAAGGTTGCTATAAGCGATGCTGGAAGGGTAATCAAAATAAACAAGGGGGAATTAGACTGCTGATTTAATTCGGCACCAGGGTTATTAAGTAAGGAATGGAGTGCAATAGGAATGAGTCGTCCCAGGCGGACAGCGCCCCCCACCCCACCCCAGTGTTACCTCCAGGATCATATCCCCGGCCTTCAGGGTCCCACTTCTGCCCGCAGGACTGTCCCCCAGGACGTGCTTGATGAAGATTCCCCGCATGACCCCGCCATTACTGAGACGCCTGCCCATCCCACGGCCGCCTAAGATGCTGATGCCCAGGGACTCGCCCGCCTCCCTGCGCAGCTTCACCCTTGGGGAGGTTATCCGTCAGGTACCAGTGGTGTAAGCAAGGGGCGGGGTCTCGAACCCCAGCTGAAAGCTGATTGGCCCCCAGAGTGTTCCCTTCCCTGTCACTCATCGATTCAAGACATACCATTGGCTAATGATAAGGTTGGATCCTCTGTATGAATTATGGCCAGTCTTGAATATATGCCCCCTACCTTAAAAAAATGCTAGAATCACCCCTGCACTAGACTGAGTTGAAAAAAGACAGATCTTTAGTGATAGCAGCATATTTGGTGGATAATCGGTGAAGCATGGCTGGCTACGGCTGACTTAACGCGGCCCAGTTAGCCAGCGGATGTGCTTACGTCCTGGGTTGGTTCCAGTCGAGCTGGGCTGTGTCTGACTGATGGCTGTTCTCTCCCACGCCTTCTTCCTGCTCTGAAATCTCAAGGACATGCTCTCTGAGGAGGCAGAGCAGGAAGCAGACAGCATTAGGTTGACCCAGCAGATACATCACAGTAAAACTACTTTCATCAGTACCTGTAAACCACTTATATATCACTACCACTCACTCTGGTGAACTGGTGAACTGAAACATTTGACATCATTACTTCCAGTTGTTCCCCACTTAAACCTAGTAAACGAAATTAGCATTTGATTTGTTGCTCGGTTAGTTATTAAGCAAATAACAAAGAGAGCTCTTTTACAGACTCATTTATCAATTTCTATCCACCGTATACACACCTTCAACTAAAAACAAATCATTACCTTGCAGATCTAAATGTGATACAAGCATACTTTTTTTTTCCATACACGTTAAAAAAAAATTGCTGACTTTACTGAAAGCAGTTTTCCACCCAAGCCAGCGGTTATACCAGGTCCAAGCCAAAAAAAAATGAATAATTAAATTTAAAAAGCAAGAAGAAAGTCACCCAAAACAGAGGAAGGAGATTAGCTAGATAGATATTTCTGATTGAGGGCCCAGTGGGGTGAGATGCGGTGCTGTAGATGCAGTGTGTACAAATTAAAATGCGAGTTGCATTTCACGGTAGCCATGTGGGGGGTTCTCATGGGG